ATTTTTTCTTATATATATAATATTAATGTTTATCAGTCAAATCTCTAAAAAAATTAAAGGAAAAACACTTCAAAAGTATATTATTTCAATAAAATATCATAAAAAATACTCTTATTTCTAATAAAAAATAATCTTTTTTAATAAAAATTTATTAAAATAATATAATTTTAAATTATTTTTTCTTCTAATTTTTCAAAACTGAACAACAAACACTTATATATATATATGAGTAGAGATCTATTTAAAAAAAAATTTAATAATTCATTTCTTCACTTTTAATAGTTAAGATTTTATCATTATTTTTTAGATAAAAAGATAATTATTTTTAATAAATATGATAAAAGGTGAATAAATCTTAATAGTTAAAAGTAGAAAAATAAATGATTGGGATTTTGTTTAAATATTGTGTATAAAATTTATATATGAGTAGATTCATATATATATATATATGTTGGTACACATTAGCCTTAACCTTAAATGTAGTCATTTCATTTAAAGAAAATTTAATTTAAAATTCATAAATTTACTTTATTAAATGTTAATTCTTATATTTGGAAATTGAAAAGCACAATTTAAAATTCATAAATTCACTTTACTAAATATGGATATATAGATTTAGAAATTGATTATATTAGAATATATAATTAGTTTTTAAATCTAAATATCAAAATTTAATAAGATAAATTTTTAAATTTTGAATTATATTTTAATTAAATAAAATGACTTTATTTAAAGTCAAGACCCCAATTTTTTTAGAATCACAATTGGTATATGCTTTTATATAAATATATAAATATATATATATATATATATGTTAGTGCTTATTGGTCTCAACTCCCAAAAATAATTGTAGTCTTAACTTATATTTGGAAATTGAAATCTTATTTTATTAAATGTTGATATCTAAATTTGGACACCCATTATATATTATAATATATAAATATTTAATAAAATAATTTTTTAAATTTTGAATTAAGTTTTAATTAAATAAGATAATGTAGTTTAAGGTTGGGACTCCAATTATTTTTGGGAGTTAGGATTGATATGCACTCTTCTCTCTACATATACATATATATATATATATGATATTAGTGCATATCAGTCTTAACTCGCAAAAAAAATTAAAATCTCAACTTATATTTAAAAACCAAAATTTCAATTCAAAATTTAGATAATCACTCTATTAAATGTTGATACATATATTTAGAAATCGATTATATATTCTAATATAATCAGTTTTTAAATCTAAATATTAATATTTAATAAGATAAATTTTTAAATTTTGAATTAAAATTTAATTAAATAAAA